TTTTTTTTTTTTTTTTTTTTTTTTTTTTTTTTTTTTTTTTTTTTTTTTTTTTTTTTTTTTTTTTTTGTCTTCTGCAATCCGTAACACAGCGTCCACTTTCCGATTATCATATCTTTTGATTCGTAGTTCGGATCGATATGATTTCTTTGGCAAAGTTCTAGATCGTGTTACCGGCTATGTCCTAGTATTTTTTTGCTTGACTACTGGACGAGTTAAGAACGTCGGAAGTTCGCTCACCGGTCTCGGACGATTCTCGGATCTCCGCCTTCAGGTTGAGATCTCGGCCAAACTTCTTCACAGATCATGCATAGAGTTGTTCCTAGATGAATATATCAAGATTTCAGATCTTGATTCACAAAGGAAAACCGTAGATCTGAGAAAACGTTCAAGATCCTTACCTTGCGGGTTTTCCGATTTCTTGATGAAAAATGGGACTCCGGCCACCCACATTCTCTTTTCCCTTCCAAGAAAGGCTCCTTGCATCACGATCTTCACCGGAATAGAATCCGACGGTAGTTTTCGGTGAGTCTTCCGGCGGTTCATCCTTTCTCCTCTCTCTAGGTTCTCTCTGCCCCTTTCTCTCACTATTTCTCTTTTGCAGGCCACTGGATAGGTTTCATTTGGACCCCTTTAGTGGTTGGAGGGCAAACTTACCTATTTGCCCCTCTTCGACTTTCCTTTTTTTTTTTTTCTTTTTCTTTTTCCATTTCTCTTTCTTCGGGTATTACGTATTAATTCAACATTATCTTATATTCTCAGGTTATTATAATGAACATACTTTATTTTATAGAAAATTAATATGTTCCCACTAGCTTTACTCTTCCGTTTATTATATAATATTAGCATATACTATTTTGATTATAAATTAATAACCTAATGTGTATAACTAAAAGATATTATGTAACATATTTCAAGTTGATTAATAATTTACAAATTCATGTGATTCTTTGATATATATAAAATGGACTATTAATTTATTTCCAACGACAGTCGCATGGCTTAAACTGGATTGGGCCTAATTTGTTTAATGGAAAGGCCCACTTAGAATGGGCAAATCCAAGTGGATCCATTGGGCCTAATTTGTTTGATGGAAAGGCCCACTTAGAATGGGCAAATCCAAGTGGATCCATTGGGCCTAATTTGTTTGATGGAAAGGCCCACTTAGAATGGGCAAATCCAAGTGGAACCATTGGGCCCTCAACCTCTGGACTTTTTCAGTTTCATAATTTTAAAAATAATTAAATAAGTAAATAAGTAAAAAAGTGAGAATGGGACAAGGAGACAAAGTAATTGAAAGCTGACATGATTTTACGTACCTTCGGGCCCCACCTTCCCTCCAAACTAATTGTTAGATTATTTTTAATATTCCGTTTAATAACCACTTAATAAGTAGTTTTTATTTTTTAAAAATCATGTTTAGTTTTGTCATTTAATTTCTATTCTCAACTCGGGCACGGCGGCCCCATCTGGATTAATCATAGAGAGAGCCTCGGAATCCTGGGATCCAACGACCCTCTCAAATCTGGCTCTCATGTAAGTCAATTTCCCGTCCTTATCCGACGGCGGCGAGGGCAGAACGCCGGCACCCATCGAAACCCCTCTCAGCTGCTGCATAACACGAACCTCATCATCCGACATATGTTTCCTTCTAATAGAGTTGTTGAAGGAACACGACTCTCCACAATGGTATAATATTGTCCGCTTTGAGCATTAGCTTTCCCAAATGCCTCATTCCAATGTAAAGTGTATTCTTATATTATAAACTCAGGATCATTCCCTAAATTAATCAATGTGGGACACTTTCATCTAACATCTCTCCTTAATCGAGGCTTGACTCCTTTGTTCGATATTCGAGTCGAGGATTTGCCAATCTATTGGCATGGTTAAGTTTAGGGCATGACTCTGATACCATGTTGGACGAACACGACTCTCCACAATGATATAATATTGTCTACTTTGAGTGTAAGCTCTCATGACTTTGCTTTGGGCTTCCCCAAAAGGCCTCATTACAATGGAGAGTGTATTCTTAGATCATAAACCCATGACCATTCCCTAAATTAACTAACGTGGGACACTTTCATCTAACAGGAGTACCCAACTTTCCTTCCGTTGCAATAAACCGCCCACACCAATTCCTCCATCACCTTCTTCTTGTTCCTCTTCGTCTCACTCTCCAGCGCTATCCTCACTATATGCGACGCCATTTTCTTGTTCAGCACCACCGTTTGCATCGGCAATTCAATCACGAATATCAGCGGGCAATGGAGTGCTTGGAGGTGTGACCGAGTTGGGAGAGGAAGACGTAATTGTCCATGAATGGGGCGGAGTGGGAGATTGTTTTTAACGGGGTGACTTCATATAATACACTCATAATAATTGAGGTGACTTTCTATAAATTCTAAACGTGTTTTCTCCTTCACATTTTCTAAAACATTTATTTTAAACGTAATTCGAGACTTGAGCATATGTCGATATGGTCTACAAAACTCGAATTTCACACGATTGACACGTTTTAGACAAGTATGATCGAAAAATCCAATAAATGGTCATAGACAATACACCTTGAATAAGTATGACAACAATACTAACCTGGGTTAATTTTTTTCAAACCACACCTTTGATTTGGTTTGCAAGTTAGATGTTTTTTTGATTCTATCATCATAACCAACCCAAAGACAGAGTTGTTCTTAAATTAATAATATTTGTTTATATGCAACTGTGAAATTTCAGTTATTAACCTAACATGTATTATAATTAATATATTTTCTTTAAATGAACCATATATAATATATTTCAAAGACGATGAATTAAAATGGTGGGGTTATTTATTTATTCGTGTATATATATATATATATATATATGAAAAATGAACCTAATTTAAAAATTAAAAAAAATATTTTCTTTTGAGTTTTGAAATTTTGTATATAAAAAAACAATAGAAATAAATTTAAAAATTTTAGTAAACAAATATGAATCCAAAGTAATGTGATTTGAATATGAGCACTCCATATGATTAGGTCGTACATAATGGAACTCACTTTAATTTACGCTAAGTAGGAAGTTTCAATGAAAATTGATGCAATAATGTAACATCCCGAAGCAGATATTATTTGCTTTAACTCGTTATTATGGCACCAAAATACATGGTTACTATTTCAATAGAAATTTTATTTTTAGAAAAAATTTAAAAATTTAAAAGTAAAAAAAAAAGAAAAAAAGAAAAAAAAGAAAAATCTAGTTTGAAGTTTATAATATAATATTTGGTATAATTTAAAATTTTCAAAGAGTAAAGATTGATTACATAATTTTCTTTTTCGGAAAAAACGACATAAATGTTTTATTTTTGGCAGAATTTTTCAGAATGGAAAGAATAGGTATAAAATCGCAGCGAACCCAATTACCCTCCCTTTCTACTTTGTTGCCGCTGCCGCGCTCTTGCTCAGTTTCGCTCATCAGTTCTCCTCCGGTAACAAGTAAGTAATCTTCATTCTCTCCCTCTATGTCTACTGAAATTCGTTGGCACACTTTTAATGGAAAGTGAATGTTCGATTAATGTTCCCTAAGTATCCTGCTATGAACACACGACACTGGGCCGCTCACCATTGGCAAGCACTGAAGCACTACTGTGAACTTGGTTGGGCTGTCCTTGTGTTGTGAGTCGCATAAAATCCAGTTCCTAATATCTCCACGCTCTTTTACCTGTTGATTAATTAGTAAGCACGCCTGTCTGAAAGGAAATAGAGATTGAATGATTCGTTTTGATGCGTAGTTGATTTGAGCTTCAATCTAATTCTACCTGTTTGAAAAAATAGGACGTGTAAATTGTAGTTGAGATCCTTTTAAACATCCTTGGTGCGGAGAGGGAATCTAAAACCCTAGCGAGTCAATCAGGGTTTACACGCCAGGATGGTGCTAGTGGTCGCTTCGTCGTCTGTTGATTCGGGGATTGGTTGTTGGGACCTCCACACGGGTGCGGAACAACTATGTTACAAGTCTTGTGCTTCTCCTGCACATGGTCTTGTTTGTGTTGGTGAAAGGTTTCTCGCATGCTCTCAGCTTCGTGATCCCGCTGCCACCTCAGGCTCCGTACTCTACTGGTCTTGGTTTAAGGTACTAGTTATTGTGAGTGTGAGTGTTAAATGTCAATCGTCTGTTCCCCAATAGTGTGCTTAATTTATTTATCTCCGTGCAGCCTCAAGTAGAAGTTAAGAGCTTTCCGGCTGAACCAATAATGGCATTGGCTTCCAACAATGAGGGTACATATATCGTTGGTGGTGGTTTCTCTGGAGATATATACTTGTGGGAGGTAAAGTTCAGTTTATTTTCTAAAAGTAAAAAATAACGTGTGTTGTGGCATTATTTCTGAAATTCCTTGATTGTGAAAAACTATAGTCGTCCTCTTGTTATATTACTTGGCTGTTGCACATTCTTGGCTGTAGCATAAGCTGGCATATTGTTGTTGCAGGTTTTGAGCGGTAGACTGCTTATGAAATGGCATGCTCATTATAGGGCAGTTACTTGCCTAGAATTCTCTGAAGATGACTCCCTGCTAATTTCTGGCTCTGAAGATGGCTGCGTTAGAGTTTGGTCCCTTCTAAAGTACAAAAAAGTTTTATCCTTTAGTCGCACCTGTGTCTATTTAGATTTTATTGTCACTAATTGAAAATTTTCTTACAAATATGTTTATAACAGGGTATTTGATGATGGATGGCAAAGGGAATCAAAACATTTGTATGAACATAGTTTCACTGGGCATAATCTACCTGTTACTGATATTGTTATTGGCTATGGAGGATCCAATGCTATTATAATCTCTTCCTCTGTGGATCGTACTTGTAAGGTTTGGCACTCTATTGAATTTTCATGTTGATAGTATAATTTTGTGATGATGCGGCTGTATACCTTGGTGAATTAATTAGTTTTATGATCTCTTTGTCTTTTAATTTATTTATGTTTGCTGGTTAAGTACTTGAATTTGCTGTCTATTTGCATTGACTTGGTGAGTATTCCAAATAATCATTATCGTTCCAGATGTGTTCATCTACTAAAATTGGCGTACATGGCACAGTAACGATCAGTGAAGAAAAATTTGAGAAATAAGTTTTCCTATATATTGTTGGTACTAGATATCAATGTTATTTTTTAAAAAAGATTTCCTGAGACAGTTGAAGAGATTCTATTTGATTAGGGTGTTAAAACTATTGTGTGTAAAACCTTTCGTTTGCAACTCTTCAGAAATTCACAAGGTGAGAACTAGTATCTTACTTATAAAAGAGTTCTTGCTGAAAATGCATAAATGACATCAACTTCTGTGATCTATTCAAGAAGTTTTAGGTTGCAGTTAAGTTTCAATTCTAAATGTTCAAGAATTTTTTGAATTGTTTATGATTTATCACCAATGAGTAATGACTACTTTCCTATCTTAATTTCTCTCATATTAAATTTTCTTCCGGTGAGTCAAAATTGAGTAATATGTTGTATGCTAACTTGACTTTTCTAGGTGTGGAGCTTATCTAAGGGGAAATTATTAAGAAATATCATATTTCCTTCGATCATTGATGCAATTGCTTTGGATCCCGGTGAACATGTCTTCTATGGTGGTGGTAGAGATGGGAAGATCTACACTGCTGCGCTTAATGCTAAAAGCCCATCCAGCAGTGATTATGGATTGCATATTCTCGGCTCATTATCAAATCAGAGGTCTATTTTATTTTTTTTTGTTTTGTTATCACGTTAACCATTTTCTTGTCAACTTTCATTTAGTTATCTTACATTTTACATCAAGGGTTAAGTTTTCCTCTAAATTGTTTTGCTCTTTTTGGGGTCTAGAATGTTATCTTTGTCCCATAAAAATACAATTGCTTGACTAATGATATAATCATTCAATAAAAAGTTGAGGAATTTCAAGTGGCTATTAGTTCGGTGCACACGTTTACTTGCACCCGGGTTTTCTTTATGCCGGATATCATCTGTCTTTATGAATTTGCTGTATTCCCTAACTTATTGTGCTTCTGTTTTTTTTAACTAGCAAGTCTGTTACTTCATTGGCATACTGCTCAAGTGGTAATTTATTGATCTCTGGATCTGAGGACGGAGCAATCAAAGTTTGGGATACCAGAACCAATAATATTATTCGTGTTCTCAAACATTCAAAAGGTACCAAACCATCTAAATGTTATTATTTGCAAAATATCTATAAAGTTGCGGCTTATTTTCTTTGATTGACCATGTGTGTGAGATCTCACTTCGGTTGGAGAGGGGAACAAAATATTCCTTATAAGGGTGTAGAAACCTTTCCCTAGCATACGCGTTTTAAAACTTTGAGGGGAAGCCTGGAAGGAAAAACCCAAAAGAGGACAATATCTACTAGCGTTGGGTTTGGACTGTTACAATGCTGCATAAATAAATATCTTTATCAAGCTGCATTTTGTTTTATGTATGAGCCGTGCATTAGCGTTTCCCATGAATATGAGGAATAGGCAGTAAATCAACTTTGTCCTTAAACTGTGGCTCAGGGAATGCCTTTCATTGTTTATGCCAGATTGTTATATTATCTGCTTTGTAATTCTAATCGTCAGAGATTGGAGGATGTCTATTAAAAAATAAATTATGTTTGGAAGCTTGATAATTTTTGTCTCTTTATTTTTAATTTTTTCTAATTTTATGAACTTCATTCCATAAATTTATTTCCAGGCATATTAATTTATATGGTTTTTTTATTGCCCTAGCTAGTGCAGTCATCTCTTGCTTGGGGGTATTCACAACCTTCATTTTTCATTTATTATCTCCATGCAAATACACTGATGTTCCATACTATTATGCAGGTCCTGTAAATAATTTACTTATTGTTCAACACCAGCTCCTCCCGACTTCACAGCTAAATCCAACCTCCCAAGGTTCTTTGAGAAAGCATCGATCACTATTACCTCCTGCCCTTGCAAAATTCGGAAACTCGAAGGACGACGATGAAGACACTGGTGTTATCATTGGTCGATCAGGTCCTCCCATGGAATCCATGGGGTTTTCCCCCATTAGTTCTCATGTGATGGATCATCAAATCACAGAACTTCAGGTGCTTGCTCTCATTTTATCCCCCTTTTGCCGTGGCCCTAAGACTCCATTTTTTTCTTGGTAAATGATGTCGCATCCTGTCTTGTCCTGGCATAGGCATACACATCATTTAGTGATAACCCACATGTCTCTACACAGTTAAAAGTTGTACTAACATGCGGTTTCTCTACTTCAGCAACAGGGTTCTGCTGCCACAGGAATGGAGTTGGAAAGACTTAAGCGTGAATATGGAAAATCCATGCAAATGCAACAGCAGTGGAGAAAACTGTACGACAATTTACATCAATATTGTGTAAATGAGCTTCTGGATGGCGATCAAACTAAAATTTAGAAGACAATTCTGCTTGAACATCTATTCTTTTTGTTTTAAAATTTTGTTTAGTTCCATCTCGTGTTCTACAAATTGTATCATCAAGTTAGGTTAGTATTTGATGGAATTGTTAGGAAGCCATCCTTGATTAATTTTAATTCCCGAACCTTTTTTCTTGGATAAGATCTGTGCATGTTGGCACGAGTGCCCTAAATTTATATGAATACTTTTGGTCATGTGGGTATTTGATTCGGGTTGTATGAACAGCACTCGATATGTTATGATTTTTGGGGCAATTTTTTTCAGTTGCGCTTATATTCGTAGGAGTTGGGTTCAAGCTTTCCCCCGTCCCTTCTCATCAATAGATTCATATAAAGGAGTGTGGTTCGTTTATAAGTATCTATCTCTTCGTCTATCTCTGAATTTGGATTTTCGTCTATTTTTGAGTTTGGAGTTTTTGAAATTTTTTTATACATGCAAGTTTAATAGAAATAATTACTTAGGAATTAGGAAAACTAATGCCCCATAAAAAGATTCTTAAAAATAATTAATTAAGGACCCATTGCTTTGAATTATGAAAAAAATACTTAAAAAGAAAAAAAGAATTACAGAACACGTAACAAGAGCTGATTGATTTAGTAACATTAAAGATTATAAAACATGCTTATGTTATAAAGTGATAAGATATTAAAAAAAAAAATGATAGTGGAGCAGGTTAATTTGATATCATACTTATTTTTTTAATATTAAAATCAGTGGAAATTAAGGTGTTAAAATATTAATAAAATTAGCGACTTTACATATATTTTCATTAAATAAAGAATAATAGTTGACTTTATTTTTGCCAGCTGGCTTCAATGCGTCTCTCTGCTCTACTACGACGCGCGCGCTTTTCTGCTCCATCGTCCTCTCATTTTCAATTTCAACGCCTTAAATAGAGCGTTCATCAACCGAGTCTTCATTGGAAGGCAGTGTCGGAGCTACAAACCTATGGCTTCATCCATGTCTTCTTCGCCTAACACCAACAAAGACGTCTCTGAAGTAGCAGAGCAGCTCGGCATAATCACTGCGCCTTACGGTTCCTGGAAGTCGCCAATCACCGCCGATGTTGTTACTGGTGCCTCGAAGCGACTTGGTGGCACTGCTGTCGACGGCAATGGACGTCTTATTTGGCTCGAATCACGGCCCTATGAATCCGGGTACAGATATCGATTTATTCTCTCTTCAATTCTAAATTCGCTGGTTGTTCTCTTGTTCGGATTTAGCTCGAATCGCTTTGATTTTGTTGCTATTCAGTTTAGAAATATCGCTTTGTGTGATTCCGTTTAAAATGGTTTAGGCGGGGAGTGCTCGTAAAGGAATCGGAAAAGCCAGGGGATGAGCCTTGTGATATTACTCCGAAGGAGTTTTCAGTGCGGAACACGACTCAGGAATACGGCGGTGGTGCATTTGCGGTCGCGGGAGACTTCGTTGTCTTTTCGAATTACAAGGATCAAAGACTTTATAAGCAATCCTTAAACTCAGGTTGACTAGCAATTGATTAATCTAGACTTCTACATGTTGACTTATGGAATTGATGTCTTAGCCTTGGTTCACTTGATCGCTCCTTACCCTGTAAATGTGAATGTAAAGGACTTGGAACTTTCAATTACTGATAAACTAAGTTTTCACGCAAGCAGATTCGCCTCCTCAAGCACTAACTCCCGATTACGGTGGACCATCAGTCAGTTATGCAGATGGGGTGTTTGATTCTCGGTTTAATCGTTTAATTACTATTCAGGAAGGTATATTTTTCCATATAGTGTTTTAGAATTAGGAATTATCTGCAATTAACATATTTAACAGTGAAGTTTCTTTTTAGACACATGTATTTACATGCTTAATTTATTTCGTTTTGGTAGATGGACGTCAAAGTAGCTTGAATCCAATCAACACAATTGTATCAGTAGAACTTGACGGCAAGGATATTAATGGTATGCATATTGTCCGTTGCATGTACAAAATTTGTTGAACGCTCGTGCATAATATGCTGTAGTTACTGACGAATTTGAATTATTGACTTCGTGAATTAGTACCGTAATTTGTGCTAATTTTGGGTATGACTTTCAGAACCGAAGGTCTTAGTTGGAGGAAATGATTTCTATGCCTTCCCTAGAGTGGATCCCAAAGGGGAACGAATTGCGTGGATTGAATGGGGTCATCCTAACATGCCATGGGATAAATCTGAGCTCTGGGTTGGCTACCTCTCTGAGAATGGGTTAGTTGAACCATTCTCCTTGGTTGGTTGATCTTACTTTTCTAACGCGTCTCTTTGTTTCAGGTGTTAAATGTTACTGTTTCCTGTCATATATGATAATGCTTCTTTATTATCTTATCATATATGATAATGCTTCTTTATTATCTTTCACATGTTAATTTTGTTTTTAATTCTAATTTCTGTTCAAATGCTTTAAAGTTTCGCCTGAAAATAAATCAGATCTGCTTGTAGTAATAGCTTCTTCACTGGTGATAGGTATCTCTCTGCCACTTAGACTTGTATTTTGTTTTTATATCTATGGTTTAATCTCGATGCTTTTGATTGTTTTGTAGCGAGGTTTCCAAACGAGTTCGTGTTGCTGGTGGTGATCCAAAGCTTGTGGAATCTCCTACTGAACCGAAGTGGTCTGCTCAGGGTATGCAAATTAGCTTTTGAAAGGTTTAGAACTTGTACTCAATGTGTAAAAATTCTATGTGAGATCGAATCAGCGTCATGCATGGCTGATGATGCCATCAATTTTTGCCTGCCTCAGAATGGTTGGGTATCTTTACTTAAATGGTTCAAGTTTGTAGGGTTGTGACTGAATTTCTTAAATTGGCCATCATGGCTGAACGTAATGCTTGGGGTTATCCTGGTTCTTATTTATTTATTTTCGGAATGTGCAGGAGAACTATTTTTTATTACTGATAGACAAAGTGGGTTTTGGAATCTCTATAAATGGGTAAAGTTTTCCTTTTTCATTTTCTATTGGCTGTATTTTGTTTCAATTGCAGAACTATAGAAAATGCGAACTGTAATTTGTTTTTGAAATCAAGTAGACAGAAAGGTGGTTCTTTTTAATTCTGGTTTTCTGATAGCTTAAAGTTGGATAATCGTGCATGCATTAGTAAGTTAACTCATTTTCTAGAGATTCAACCTACGTTTTTTCTTTTTGAATTATGGATTGCAGTATTTACCTATGTTTATGACCTTGCTTCAATAGGATTTGTTCTATAGCTGTACAACTGTGTCTTTGAATTCTAAAGTATTTACCTATATTTTGTTACTCTTATTCCAGATATGCTAAAAAAATGACAAATTTAGAAGGAACTTGCGTAAAAATTTATTTTGTTTAATTGTATTTTAAGGTATGAAGCACACTGAAATGCAATAAGCCACTGGCTGTAAAAGAGAGTAAAGGTTTCTTTTCATTTTAATGACTATGAATAGTGGTTTTGTTCAATGATTTTTATTGGTGTAAATGTAAACACCCCTTCAGTGACTATAGTTAGTCTCTCTTCTTTACTCTCCTCAGTTGGAGATCTTTCTTGCAATGAATTAAAAGCTCTTTACCTCCCTTTATTTCATTTTTCAATGAAATCCATATCTCTTCTAAAAAATAAAGTTTTGTTTTATAACTAATCTCATGGGATTTGGCAAAATTCATAGAAAACTTGTAGAATATCTTAGGTATATGGTCACTTGTGGTTCATATGCATGTAATCTTGGACTCATCTACTTGGTTATATCGTTGCAAACACAGAAGTGATTCTTAACTGAAAGCGATATCTGATTGATTGTCAAGATGAACCCCTCATTTTATGGCCTATATTGAGAGAATCTGTGTTCTCTAACTACTTTGTCAACAAAACTGGAAAAGGGCATGTGGGGATAAAGATGATGGCCTACGAATGTGATGGTCTTTAAGGGAACTTTGTAAGAAGACACTTTTATAGGGTGGATTCTTTAATTATCTCTCGCTGAGTTAATTTTGAAATTCCCAGGCAAAGAAATAATGGAAAGAAAGAACTAGGTTTGGTTACCATTCTATAATCAAATCATTTGATATGGACCTCCTTTGCATATAAGTAACTACCTGGTTCCATGATATAATGGCACTTCTAACTCTTGCTTATCATGGAAACAGTTTGAGGCTAATGATGAGGTGGCTCCATTATATTCTTTAAACGCTGAGTTTTCCCGACCCTTATGGGTTTTTGGCACAAATTCTTATGAGTTCCTAAAGAACAGTGTTGGGAGAAACATCATAGTCTGCACCTACAGGTGACTGAAGAAGTTCCTATTTTGTATGCTTCATGCTGCATTTTTACCTCCTAGATTTTTTTTAGATATTCAACTGCCTTTCCTACCATGGTTCCTGCAGACAGCATGGGCGATCATATCTTGGAGTCTTGGATGAGGCGCAAAGTTCACTATCCTTGCTCGACATCCCATTCACGGATATTAATAATATTGTATGCTTTAAGATCTATTACACTTTGAGAACTTTGTATGTTCACTTTCGCGGAGGATTAGTTTTGTTTTGTCAGTGATATTTCCTTATATTAGCTCAACATGTTTATGTTTGCAGGCTCTGGGTCGTGATTGTATATATGTGGAAGGATCGACAGCACTTGATCCATCATCTATTGCCAAGGTCTCTTCTTTATGCCACAAACTGTCTTCTTTTCTTTTTCTTTTCTTTTCTTTTTTTTCTTGCATCACTTTCAGCCTTCTGTATTTCTGAAATTTCAAAAGTTCCTTGTCATAAAATGATGGATGAATTACTTTCTGCCTGTCTTTGACAATGCCACTTTTCCATACAGGTGACCCTAAATGAAAGAATCTTGGAAATAGTACATTTCACTATTATCTGGTCTTCTTCGCCGGATATTTTGAAATTTATGTCATACTTCAGCCTTCCTGAGTTCATTGAATTTCCAACCGAAGTTCCTGGTCAAACTGCTTTTGCCTACTTTTATCCGCCGACCAATCCTATTTACCAGGCTAGTCAGGATGAAAAGCCTCCACTGTTGTTGAGAAGTCATGGTATGTTGCAATTATGCTGTCATTAACCTTCCAGTGTTCGGGGGAAAGAGTTCAAACCATTATCCTGATTTTTTTTTAGACTTTTTGCATATCAAGTAGGGTGTTGGATTGTTTTCTGTTTATTTCGATGGAATATTCTTTTTAATATTTGTGTTATTTTGTAAGAGACAGGAAAAAGAATTTTTTGTACTTGACCTTAATAAAGTGCTGCAAAACTGGAAAGAATTCTTACTGCCTACTGGCATTTATTTCTAGTTCGGCTCTGGCGTAGCTCCTTCTTGAAAAATAAATATATAATAGATATTGCATTACAGGAGGGCCAACTGCTGAAACACGTGGAATTTTAAATCCTAGCATTCAATATTGGACTAGTCGAGGCTGGGGTTATGTTGATGTCAATTATGGTGGTAGCACTGGTATGTTTGCGACCATTACTAGTGTAGTATTGAACAAAAATTTTCTTTGCATGTTCATGTTGCTTCCTTCTAGCCTTTCTAAATTCTCTAATGATCAACTCTTCATTCCTCGTAATGCTGAAATGCTTGATACTTGCCAACTGGCTTCTCTCATTGAGGAATGTTTTTCTTTGCTAGTATAGTTAGTTACTGTGGTATTTATAATTTTGGCTCTAAGGTTATGGGAGAGAGTACCGAGAAAGGCTTTTGAGGCAGTGGGGAATTGTTGATGTCAATGACTGCTGCAGTTGTGCAAGATTTTTGGTGGCGCCTCCTACAGTCTTGCTTTCTTTAGAACTTCTGAGTCATGACTAAGTATTGTTACACCTTTCTAGCCTTTGGTAATAGCAAACCGTATTGTTTTCTCCAGGTGAACTCTGGAAAGGTTGATGGAGAACGATTATGTATCACTGGGGGCTCTGCTGGTGGATATACCACCTTAGCTGCTCTTGCTTTTAGAGATACGTTTAAGGCAGGAGCTTCCTTGTACGGGGTGAGTTTCTAGTCCTATGCTAATCTGATGTCTTAGAATTATCCAAGTGATAAGAATAGCTCTCGAGCCAAAATTGATGATATGAATTATACTCATTTTATGTGTTGTTGAACTGTTTTCTGTTGTACTGCTTGCATTAAAACAAAAATTAAATGCTGATGGTGTGGTATAATTTTAAATTTTACTATAATCGCTCACTACCATTGCCAAAATATTGTGGCCAATGGAATCATCTGGTACTTTTAGGATGTTTAGCTACAACACCTGTTGGTGATTTTATAGTCACAAATAGAGATTACTGCTCTTTATATTCCAGGCTGTCTGAGTGCATGGCCGACTATCATCTCTAGTTGTGTTGATTTTATAGCTTTTTTTTTTTTTTTCTAAGTTTGTACAGAGTAATTGTTCTTTTAACCCTTTCCCTTTGGTCATAGCTCCCTTCTGCTTTCTGTTAACACACACACACACATAATTGACTTCGCTTGCTAAATTTTGAAACTATATGCCTTGCAACAGTCGACTGATTGTAGTTCCCATGATCTTTGTATAGATAGCTGACTTAAGCTTGTTGAGAGCAGATACACACAAGTTCGAATCTCATTATATCGACAATCTCGTTGGTGAGTTAAAGAACCAAATAAAGAATCTTATAATTTATTGTCTTCTCAATTCAATCATTGTGAACTCTGATACAATTATAATGGACTGCAGGGAATGAAAAAGATTACTTTGAGAGGGCACCGATCAATTTTGTTGAGAAATTTTCTTGCCCTATAATCCTATTCCAGGGATTGGAGGACAAAGTATGCTGATTGTTTTCTCTTTCTTCTCCTGTTAATGTTGACGTAAACCATGAAACATTATGGACTTTTATATCTTTATGTAAACGGAGGCCATTGGTTTGATGGGGTTTGCACTTTGTATTAAATTTTCAGGCCGTACTGCCTAATCAATCTCGTAAGATTTATCATGCCTTGAAGGATAAGGGCTTGCCTGTTGCACTAGTGGAGTATGAAGGAGAAGAACATGGTTTCCGCAAGGTACACGGCACTGCATCTTTTAAGTAACAATTCTAAGTTTTTGCATTGGGGTATAGAATGCTAAATTTGTGTATTTAATACAGGCAGAAAATATTAAATTTACCCTCGAACAGCAAATGATGTTCTTTGCTCGATTTGTTGGACGATTCCAAGTTGCAGACGATATTAATCCAATCAAAATTGAAAACTTTGACTGAGGATATGCCTGCTGGTATATTTGGAAACCTTCTACTTTGTGAATTTCACGGAATGGTTTTGTGAGATCTTCTGTCAATAACTTCAACACAGCATTTGGACGAACAATGGTTTGTGTTGACTATCTTGTGGTTTGTGTTGACTATCTTGCTCCAGGTCCATATGATGAAAATATGGCAGTAAGTTTGGAATCGCTTTAAACCATGACGGGTGTCTTGGATGGGTTTGATTGCTTTATTTCCAACCTTTTGAAGGACAGTTTTAATGAATAAAAGCATCTCATTTTATTTACAATTTTGTATAACTAAAATTTCCTCTTCTTTATTTATTTATTAATTTTTATTTTATTTTTATAAATTATATATAATAAGCAAGGGTATTCCCTCTGATTGTGGAAATTTCTTGAAAGTTTTGTACGTAGCATTCATGTTTAAATTTTCACTGGTAGGGGTAGACAAAGTAAATTTATTGAAGGAATGGATCTTAATTATATAACTATAAACCCCAATATCTAGGGATTTAGTTAGATTACCTAGTAGTACGTAGATTTATTTTTTTTGTATTGTTACTAGCATGCAGGGATTTATTTAGATTTATGTCTCTACATTGTTACTTAGTGTATTTAGTTAGCCTTCTTGTATTATAAAAAATACATGTATGTGAGCTAAATAATTTACACTTGCAACATGGCCTTTTCTATGTTTGAGGCTATCGATTTAGGAATGTTGTACGGGCTAATGATTTCCTATGGACAACGTAGTAATGGAAGAAGCAATGTAAGGGTTCTTGATCGGGAGAGAGTGAACATATTTGGTCCAATAATAAACTACGACCAAAATTGTGTTCTACTTTAAAATTTGGAATATTCCAAGGTGAAATCTATCATAAGGTGGCAGCTAGGTACATAATGCATATTTGATCAGCTTTTTTATTTTTAATTTTATTCTTTTTTTTAAGATTGAGTTAGAATGTTATCATAGTTTGTAACGTAACGTACCGATTCAGTTCAAATAAAATGGAAATCTGGGTCAGATACATATGCTTATTTGCTTTAACCATTCAATAGAATATTGTTCTTATCAAGAAATTTTCTTTAATTTGATCATTTGGCATGCCATTTAATGGGTCATCAGAAAACAAAAATGACAGTTTTGGTTGAAGTTAAATCTTGGATCCATTAGTGGGAGTGCCTGAAGTTGGTGTGCATATGGACCGCTGGATTGAAGAGGAGTCCTCCCAAAATCCCCTTGTAGGGCAGGAAAGTCTTCTTTTTCTTCTTGTCTTCTGATGCTGCTCTATTCAATGAAAAATGCGGATCATAAATTGAAACGGCTCCATCTCTGCTATTATTGGATTTGAAGCTCGTATTCTTATTCTCTTCCTGTTTCTTGTATAAGGTTGAATATTTCCTTAGAGGATCTTTTCCAGTTCCTCGTCCTTCAGATGCACTTCGAAACAGGTCCGTTAGTCTCCACCTTCTACTGCCCTTAGATGAGGTGGTATTGGAATTGGTTCCAGCAGCAGAAGGGGATCCTGGAATCAACTTCAGCTGTCCAACGTTTTTTCGTAAAGGCTGTTTCTCGTACCATGGAGATGAAGAAACTCTAATGGGGGAGAGCGACCTCACTGCTCTCCGGGAGGCTGAGGACGTTAAGGCTTGGTTTCTTCCCCTCCCTCTCTTCTGTTCCTTTTTCCTTTCTGCGTTCTCAATTATTGTTTCTGTTGTTGGATTTTTCCTCCTTTCAGTAGAGTACGTATTCTGAAATGTTTTATTTTGTTGAGAAATTGGTGATTGTGGTGGCGTCTCTAGTGATCGGATTTTGCCGTCATCAAATAGCTCATCAGCTGAGAGTGTGGTTGCCTCGAACTGCCGGCAAATATCAAATGCAAAATCGCCATCCTCCTCCATGTATGCTTCATCCATTTGGGAAGGTTGCATCTCATCGAAGTCCCTATAGAACTCGGACATGCGCATTGGACTACAAGGTGCGCTGTAGAAGTAATTTCCAATAACTTCAGGTGTAGTTGGAACTGTCGAGATCTTAGATCTTCCACCATTGAAATGATAATCCATGCTCGGTGATTGTATTGCCACCTCCATTCTAATACCTTATCCAACCCCCCTTTCTTTTTTTGTCCCACTTTTGAACAGAAGACAGAGAAGTTTGATAGAGAAGCAACTCCAAAACAGACGAAGCTAGAATTGCCAATATTTTACTTGAATGAAGGAAACGGAGACGAACATATATAGTGGCTGGAGTTTGTTGACCACAACAAGAGAAGCAATGAGGTAACATCTTTGTGTGCACGTTACACATCATATTTTTGTTTATATCATCATATGCATGTGTGAATGCATGCAAACTTATTTCTGAAAAATAAAGCAAATGGGGCCTTCTGAATTTAGGATTTGACATTATTGGCGAGACTAGACTTCAAAAGCTAGAAAATTGTTTGTCAAGTAGATGAAAGTTGTGCACCTAACAACTACAAGTGAATGACAAAAATATGTGCGTAATTTTTGGTAGGTAAAGGTAAAGCTAGACATTGTCATCTTGTGTTTCTTATTACAGAAGCATGACGAAATTAGAGAGGCAGCCTACTTTCTGTTTCTTAGTTCTCACCATCTCCACCATCTCCAAAATGAACCAAACTTAGTTTATTAGTTTGGTTCCTACCTCACCTTTTGATGAATAAGGATCTAGAAATTTCTGGCTGTGGATTATTTTCTTTGTCAGGTATGTACTTCAATATATGGAAAAGCAAAATGGTTAGTAGGTATGGTTTACGTCTATTAGTTTATCCTATTAAATTTTATTAAACATGTTGATCCCATTGATATTTTTATTTTTATTTTGGTAGAGATTGACTTATAAAACAAGTATTATGTAACCAAAGTTTATTCCCTTGCTTCTTTTTCACAAAGTTGATCTTGTTAGGGAGAGATGTGAGATCGAAGGTGGGTGGATTGTGAGATTTCACATCGATTAAAGAGAGAAATGAGTACCAGCGAGGACACTGGATCTCGAATGGGGTGGATTGTGAAATCCCACATCGATTTGAAAGGAGAACGAAACATATTTACAAGGGTGTGGAAACTTCTCCCGTTTATAAATCTTAAGAAGTCTGAAAAGGAAAAGCCAGAAAGGATAATTAAGACTGGGTTTGATTTTGAAACCGGTAAAATGTGAGCAGGCACTTGGCGTCTTTACAATTCCCTTCATATGAAAGCAGCACAACCAGAAGAAGGATTGTGTTCGGTGGAGTGATTGAAATCTGGGAATAAGATTCCAACAGATTATGATAAGTTTTCAAACAGAGTGCCAATTATTCAACAACGGAGATTTTTGAAATTTTGTTTTCTATATTATCTTAAAATATTTGGCTCTGAACGGGTCAGCCTCCGTTTTGGACTCGATCATTCTTCTAGATGACAGGGTGGTTGAATATTTTAGTTAAAATTGCATTCCGATCTATAGTTTATAGGTGACTCCAATTTTCCCATTAATTTGATGAGGTGGCGAAGTGACGTATTGCCAACTACCACATTTATAGCTGACGTGTCTTTCAATTCCTTCATGCTCACCAGCTGGCAAGTCCTTGGAGCCACACCAGTTGGGCCTAGTGGGGGCAAACTGGGCCTTGTTGCCCATAGCAAGAAGCCTGAGAACCTTAGAATTTGTGGGCCGGTTCCAATCCTTCTCAGGTCCATATCTCCTTTGTTGGCTGTTTTAATCTGGAAACTTCCTCTCCTAGGCCCCTTCCTCTGACCTCCTTTCATATCCAAATAGCTACCAACTTCAGATATATTTGGTTGATAGGTTTAGACTTGTATAATCTAAAGGGTTTTAGAAAAGGGATATCATGATGGCCAGATAATTCCATTTGGATACCATGAATTTTAACTTCTATTGGATGAGAAGGGTCAGCTGATTTGCTTAAGACTAAAATGTCTCGTCATCTTCTAGTAACGACCCGTTACCTATAGATTCTCCTTCATCTTCTATTGTAGTAGAGTCATAGTAAAGGTTCTCCCCATATAGAATGTATGCAAATATTTTTTTGGTAACAATGAATTTGAATCGAATGTACTAGTAAATTACATGGATCTACGAATGTCTGAATAGGCCTTATAAATCCATTTGACCTCTCAATTAAGAGTATATATATCTTTATAAGTTACCCAAATCCAAGTTTTGATAATTTAAACCTAGGATTATGCTAGACTTTCCCAAGTCCCAACTTTAAGCTTCACAAACCAAGTTTTAGGGTTTTGAAAATTCTCTAATTTATTTATGCATATAAAAATAAGTAGTTTGTAATTACCTTGATGAATTTCACACCATAAAAAGTTACCAATTCGTAGCTTAGATTTTCTACCGATCTACTATTGCTCCAATGGCATCATAAGTGGTCGTTTCATTTAATAGCTTGGTTTCTAAAGGATGCATATCATGCTGAATACACACCAAATCTCAGGAGACAACAAAATCTCACACTAGGTCCTCATCATTTTTGTCTCTCCTTTTGAACTTCATGGACTTTCCTGATTCAGAAAATTTAAGAAATGGCAAAGAAAAACACGACGACAGGGAGCTTGAGTTGCAACTCGTAATCCAATAGACAATCTTTGAAAATACTTAAGAGCAACAAACACGGGGTTCTACCTAACTGAGTGAGGTAGACAACCTTAAGAAACTTTGAAGTCGTTAAGTCTAATGTTCAATAATAACGTGGTTTCCACCTAACAGAGTGAGGTAGATGGACCTAATGTTCAATAATAAGCTGTTGACCGTAGTTTGTTTGTGGTTGGCCTTGACATAGATTGGTAGTGTGTGGTGGGTGAGGTTTGCCCATTTGAAGTATAGAGACTGCAATGGAAAGGAGCACTGAGAATCAAAATTGTTTTGAGATTAAGACAAAACTTCAATTCTCTTTCCTCACCTCCCATTCCTTTCAACATCCCAAACCCTTACAATCTTCCAGCTTTCACTTTACTGGATTTTGTTATGTTGAGTATATGAGTTCTCCATACAATTTTGGAACAAAATTTTTCCTTTTTCAATATTTTAAAAATGTCAGAATATAGTGATGACGTGTACACTGAGTTGGCAGCCAATTAAATGAGTAATATTATTAAGGAATTTTGTTATTTCAGTGTATAGTAATGACCTGTACACTGAGTTGGCAGTTAATTAAATTGGGTAATATTATGTTACTCTCGTTATTCCCATCGGCAAAGTCTTATTACTATAATTATCTTTGCGTTACACAGCCAAACACAGTTGTCGGTCCTTTTTAACGCTTTAAGCCATCAAATCAGTGCCATCTGTCTCAAATCAACATCAGAATCTCACACGCTCTTCTTCTATTATTCTCGAGCATTTAAAAAAAAAAAAAAAAAACAAAACAAAACAAAATTTAGTCATTATTTTTCTAAGAATTTTGGAGTATGATTTCATTTTAAAATTTGGAAATCACCCTTTCTCGTTACTAAACATCATTTACAATATTATTTTATCATAAAATGATATAATGTTAACGTATATTTTGTGAAATAAACTCTTTATGAGATCTTAGGTCGGTCGGAGAGGACAAACATTTCGTATAAAGTTGTAAAAATTTCTCTACTAGACGCATCTTATAATCGTGACACGTAACGGACTAAAATAAATAATTTATACTAGCAGTAGACTTGAGTTGTTACACTTAAGCGACTAAATATTTAAAATTTCTTTAAAACGAGAAAATCACAAATGAATTCCTCACCCTGCAAAGCTGCTGAATGTACAAAGTATTGTACATCAAATCTATATTCTTGATAGCTATGATACAGTGTTCTACAACTAAATCTTAACCATTGCTGCCAAAGCAATGGAATATGGATCATTATGTGCACAAAAGATATCTAAAACTGAACTCATAAGGTATCACTTTGACAAACTCCGACAGAGGCTGCTTTCTTCTTCTCTCCACCAACTTAATTGCTTCTTTTCCTAATTCACTTGGTAGTTGAAGGCAGACCCAGTCCACCAACGACTCCAAGTCTTTACCAAAGTCCAGCAAATACCAATCCAACAGCTTTGGTATTCCAAATTTCTCTGATGAAATCCCAACTGCAGCTTCTAAATACTCCCTTTTTGCTACTTCTAGCTCGTTTTCGACCTGGGATGCCGTGTACACTCTCACCTTCATTAAGCAAAGTTTCGAGCAAATTAGAAGTCGAATCAGAGGATATATGGAACATCAGTGATGGAAGAACATCACTTACAGCAGGGGAAGACCAGCTTCCACATGATAGAGCAAACGTAACCAATGGTTCTGATAACTCCAACCCGAAAGTACTTCTAAACGTCTTCTCGTCATATTTTGCGCTCTTTGAGAAAGCCTGTGGTCAAATTTACTTACATTCTAACATCGAACTTAAAAGTTAAACGTCATAAAACATCGTTGAAATGAACAGCTTACGTATTGTGAATGATAAGGCAGTCTCAGGATGAAATGCTCTATGGTTATAGCATTTAGCAACTGCCCGCTCACATTAATTGTTGCCTTCTGCATTAAGGCAACAACCATCTTGGGACTCTCTGGTATTCCATGTTCTAAGAATGCCTGCAGGAATTCAATCACTTGAGTGTGTGCCAAAGAAATTTGAAGAAAGAATGCCATGAAATGAAAAGAAAGAGCAAAAATTCAGAGATTGGCGAACATTTATCATGCAGGAATTATAGATGTTGATCCAAAAAGCAAGTTTCTCCTGATGGATAAGATGTTGCAAGTTGACAGAAGCAAGTTTCCCCATGAGGAGTCTGAAATTTGGACAAATTGAGGCTAAACTTAACATTTTATATCCCAAACAAAGGCCTGAATCGATGAGAATTATCAGTAGCAGAAAACTTACTTCAATCTTTGAAATAGAAATGAAGAGTTCGCTGTCCGTTTCGTATTGATGGAACTAGCTTCGACCGTGCACACGTTCTTGTATGGACCGATATCCCGCATTCCAAATTTTGAACATATATCATAAGGGTCGTGAAGACAACCCGTCTCTTCGTTTTGAATGGTACTTACCATTGAGAAGAGATGCAAATTTTCAGCAGCACCTCTGTTCTTGGTTGAACTCAATCTCAATAGAATTGTTGATAAGCATTTCAAAATATTTTCAGAAATAGTGTTTGGATTATCATCACCATACACCTTGTTATCCGGGGAACGTAGTTGTCTTGCTTCAGTATTTTCTGGAGAATTTGGTTTCTGTGATGATTTGTGATGAACTGAAGGTGTGTTGATTGGAGTCTTTGTCACATGGGTTTTGTGGAGAGGGGGCTTCTTGTTGCTGCTCATCAAATTCACTCGAGATTCATTTTCCTTTCCCAGACAATCTGAAGCACAAAGAGGAACAAAAACAGGTTCAAAATCTATTCAACTTGCTAACTTGATTCAAGTGATTAATATGGTTGCCGTTAGTTACCAATTTTCTGAACTTGCTTAGAATTGTTCTTCGGGGAAGCCTCCATGTTCTTCGTGGAGGACGAAATGTTGACAGCTTCCTGATACAAATCCTGCCTGAAATGCACAACCTGTTCTTCAAGCCGCACCACCTCCTCTTCAAGAACAGCCACTTCGGCAAGAAGTTCTAGCATCTACACCAATAAAAAATTTGGCCTTAGAATTCTGGTTTTGATTGTGAAGGACTCGAGGGATTCGATATCACTTACATTGGGAGGAAGGGAAGGAAGGAGGCGGGGTAAGGCTCCCAGAGGTCTGGTGAAAGCTCTCTTGAGAGCTCGACCCACATTCTCTTCATGTCTCAGCTTCTTCTTCAACTTCTCAATCTGATCATTAACAATGTCAAACCCAATTTTAAAATGACCAAAAGAAAGTTTCAGCAATTTCCAAATTTCGTTCATACGTCTTGTTGCAAAGCCACTTTTCTCTGTCTGCGTGAAGCCCGCCCGTTCGTGGCTGCTTTCGCTGCACCTTGTTGCTTCGCCTCCTGCATATCCACGTTCCCCTTCAGGGTAATTCAGAATTCAAAAATGGGCCGCAGAAGAAGAAGAAGAAGAAATCATATAAATCTAGAACTGAATCAGATACAGAATAACAGAGGGAAGAAGAAAGTATGTCGACAACTCAAATTCTTTTAACTTTTGGTGGGTTTCTTCCATCTACAGAACAAACCGTTTTTCAAAACATGCAATAAATAAGGTAAGAAACTAGAGCGACCTACATAGAACTACGCACTAGACTTGGAGGTAAAGCTGGGATTACTTTTTCATGATTTGCAGATGCTCTAATAGACTGCAGCCTTGTTGTCCTTTCTTTGCGATTCATCTCTTCAAAACTGCCACATGATCGAACCAAACCCAATTCGTAACTCAATATATCAAACAAAAGAATCCCATGGAATGAGAAGAACAAGGGATCAAACCTTTGTGAGAGGAAAAGAGTTTCATTTTCTTATAGACTCCTAAGAGCTTCTTCAATGGCGAAAGACCAATACAAAAATTTACCGCCCAATTTGGAGATGCCTCGATGAGTGTGAGAGAAACAAGAACTGAGACTTCTTGGAGAGTTGGATGTGTATTTAAGATACTGTTTATGACAGCCGCACAGAACTGGGTCTACCGACTGGGGAGTTACTTACAGATCTTCCACCGCTTGGAAAGTTTATCTAATAGAGAGAGAGAGGGAGGTTACTGAGTGAATGAAAGGTAAAACCAATGGGTTCGGCTTTGCAGAAAGTTTATAAACAGCTCAAACAGCTCTTGCATATGCCGCGGCTATGGTCCACAACATGCCCTCGTCATCATGGAACAACGTGTGCCTTCTCTTTCGAACCCCATCTCCTTTATATCCTTTGTTTTTTACCCTCTTTCTTTCCTTTCGGAATTCACTTTCAAATCCCATGTGGGTTCAGAGTGTTTACGACTTTGGACGTGCGATTTTTGTCAGAGGCATTATTGATTATTTTTGTAACAACCCAAACTTACCGATAATTTTCTTTCGACTTTTCTTTTGACTTCTCCTCAAAATTTCTTAAATTGTCAATTAGTGGGAGAGATTTACACACACTTATAAAGAATGCTTAGTTTCCCTCTCCAATATAGGTAGAATCTCACAATCTACCTCTTTCGAAGCCAACTTACTCCGTCATTTCTTAAAAACTACTTAATAAACGATTAAAATGTAATGAGCAATGAATTTCACGGCAAAGATTGCAAGGGTAGCATGCTTGCCAACTCTTTAATACATTGGACTTGTTTTGGAAGATCCAAAGCAGGACTGCTCAAGAATTGCCTGGCTTGATCATAATATAATATTGGTATTCGTTCTTTATTACTTACCTAATACCAAACCTTATTATAGTAATCCTTTCATTTCAAGAAATATTCATACCATTTCTGCTATGTCCATCAAATATGAATCCTAACTGATTTGCATTTTCAGACCTGGCTTGAAAACATGGAAAGAAAACAGAGTGTTCATCTGTTACCAATTTATGTCACTCGACAATGCTCCCTGTCAACTTTTCTTCCTTATCCATCAAAAAAGGCTAATCGATAACAAATGAAGCCTCTATTATGAATCACAGATTTCCGTAATGGTATGTTATTGTTCACTTTAACCATAAACCCTTGTGACTTTATTTTTGATTTTCCTTACTTATAAATTTATGATAAATCCCTTACTTAGTCGATAACTCCTCTCCCAACAATCCTTTCCTCGAACAAAGTACACTATAGAGCTTCTTCTGAAGCCTATGGAGTCCTCGAACAACCTCCCCTTAATCGAGGCTCGACTCCTTTTTCTCTAGAGTCTTCAAACAAAGTACATCATTTATTCCACACTTGAGTCACTTTTGACTATATCTTTGAGGCTTACAACTTTTTTGTTCGACATTTGATGATTCTATTGACATGACTAAATTAAGGGCATGACTCTGATACTAAGTTATGAATCACGGACCTCCACAATAATATAATATTATCTACTTTGAACATAAACTCTCGTAACTTTACTTTTAGTTTCTACAAAAGTCTCACAAATGGAAATGAATTCCTTACTTAAAAACTAACCCCTCCTCCACAGCCTCTTTATCTCTAAAAAAAATCAACCAATGCGTTCAAAGCAAACCCCACTACTCACACAATGTCCAAATTTCCCTTTAAGCTCCTCAGTGCGTATGTCAATAACAATCAATTTGAAGCGCTGGAAAAACAATCTTCAATAATGAAATCTCTGTCTTTTGAAAAGCAAATTTTGGCTAGTTTGTCACTTACACATGTAATGGATGCTGCCTCATAATACAAATGGTCACTTTTCGATTAAAAACAACTTAAAAAAAAAAAAAAACTTACGGGACATCAAAGTAGGAACTCACAACCACGTGATAGAGACATAGAGACATGAAAGCAGAAATATTTTAACGCAGCATGATTAACAAAAGTAATAAATCAATAAGCTTTCCAAGTATGGGAGCAAATTAATAATTGGGGGACCCTTTCCTGAATGCAGTGGGGTTGACACTACTGCTTATTTCAATTCCAAAACAATCGGGTCAGCTAAGTTCTTCAATAGCCTTTAACTATTTTGCGTACTTCAATAATTAAACCTCCGCATAATGAATAAAGTAGGTAGCCACAAACACTTACATGTTTCTTAGAGCCATTTCAATCGCATAACCATTGCCGCAATCCCCTTCGCATTTCGTCGAACAGCTCGTGCGCATTCGCTCGACGCCCCATCGTGCATCATCCAGCGATGGGAACACTCCTGTTCCAAGTCCGAGAGCGTTGTCATAATATAACATGAATATAAAACAAATCTTTTAAACTATAACATGAATATATATTAAAAATATCATCCGTTTACATGAACATAATCATATTAAAAATATTTTTATCGATCTGAAGCTATCCTAGATCGAGTACCGACGCTATTCCGACATAATTCAATTTTAAAATAAGAAAAAAAAAAAGTTTGTCCTTTTGCAAAGTGGGGAGAAAAGTCCCTAAAATTATATAAGAGAAAGCAAGGGGTTTGATAAAGGCGTGGGAGTCCTTCCTTTGTCGGTGTCCTTTGCAGCGCCAATGAAGGATATGAGTTTTATTGAATAAATCAATAAAATACATCCAATATAATGCTCTTTTTTGGCTTTCCAACAACCCAATCAAATCCAATTTTATTTATTGGGTTGGTATCAAATATAGGACGAGAGCAGAATGGGCCAAAGCAAATAATAGCGGCAGGTGGTGGATTTGAAGTTATTCCAAATGATATTATAGCCGGTCATTGAATAGTATGATAGCAAGTATGCTAGGTGCCAAAGGGATAGCGATTCCATGTTGATTTGAAGAGAAGAATGAAACATTCGCTATAAAAGCACGGAAATCTAATCGTGAAGCTGACGGTGATACGTAATAGACTAAAGCAAACAACACAACGATATTAAGTATTATTTTAAATTTTTTGCCGACGTTTTAAGGAAGAAATTGGATGAATGATTGGCATGTCGAATGGGGAAAGAGTAGACAAGTTGGTGCATAAAAGAAGGCAGAAGGTCCTACTCAGATTCTAAATCTTATATAAATCAATTTTTGTGTACTTTGTTGTGGGAGTTCAGCTTAAGCTTACAATTTCATTACTCATTTATGTCAATTTGGAGTCTTTCTCACCTCACAAACCACAACTCAGTAATAAATTTCAGGTGGGGTTCAGGTTAAAACCTGTAAGCCTCATTGTTTTTGTTTTGAGATGGGTAAAAATGAGGCCAAAATTTAATGCGATGTGACTCTGTTTTTTTTTTTTTTTTTTGCCTTGTCCATCATTTTTAACCGCCATCATTCCACAGGCACCACCGATTGTGTTTGGGCATAGAAGGGAAGAGTGGGGATCGCCAAAGATATTAGAATTGGCCACCAAAAAAGGTCGTTTTTTTTTTTTATTTTCATTGAAAAACGCATCATCATCATCCACTACCAAAGCAGTGGTGTTGTACAAAGCCAGCTGCTTTTGGGGGTAAAGCTTTTTAAGGCTTTTGGGGTTTTAGAACACTTTTTCAAAATGAAATACAAGAAGTTGATTATGATTGTTGCCCTTTCCTCTGTCTTCTTCTTTTTTCTGTTGTGAAAATTCCAAGTTTCCTATGGTGTTCTACCTAATTTTCATTTTCTCACTATCAATGTGAGATTCTACTATTGGAGAGGGAAATGTATCAATATTTAATCATGTCATTTTCATGCAACAAATCTGCTATCTTGGGTAATTATCTTGTTGCAACTTCCATGAAAATTATGATAGTTTCTTGGAGTTGTTTGGTTTTTGTTGCTCTTTCTATCAAGAACGAGGCTTGGATTCACAGTGGAACTTGATGGAACTCTTTTTAGGAAGAAAATAAGCTACCTGACTATACATTTACTTGAAATCACAAAACTCAACACATAAAACCATTTTGAAAACCATTTCTAGTGGAGCTTCCTGTCTAAGCAAAGCATAGAAAATTGCTTATATTTGAGCGATAAAGGTCGTAATCTCGAAATTGAAGCATAAGAATGTAAAGGAAACAAAAAACGCCTAGGAAATTGTAATGGGTGCCAATTACAATCTACAATCGTGGGCGGGACATGCCGTGCAAAAACGCCATGCGGTGGGGGGCTGGAGGAAGCCTTTTATGCTTCACTCAGCGGCTGCAATAGCCAGTTGCAGTTGCAGTGTTGCCGCAGCCGTAGGGCCACGGCGGAGCGGTGACATTGACAAGGCAGAGGCAGCTACCATCTAAAAAGCCTATTTTTACAGTTCCCATTGCAACACAAAACAAAATAAGTTGCGAAGGCTTCGGCTTTGTTCAAGGCGCAGCCTTTGGTTTTGGGGCTTCTTGGTCCCTTCATAATTTCAATTATGCTTCTGAACGGTGTCCATGATTCGACCTTCCAAAGCCGTGGCTTTTGCGTAAAAAGGAAGCTGCAGACTTCCAGTTGCAGTGACATAACATTAAAGATGATTAAAGGAAAAGGACTTGTCCAACAAAGTCAATGTCTACCCATATCATTTCGGAATCTAATGGGATCGATCAACTCCTCCTTTTTTACTCCCTCTCCCATTAAGTTCTGGGTTAAAAAGAATGAAGGATAAATCTTTACTACAGTGGTTAAATTAACCAAATAAAACAGGTACTAATCTTTAATGACGGTGACAGTAAAAATGTAACTGAATTCTTTAAAGATATTGCAAAAAATGGAGCATTGAGAAATGGGATCTAAATAGATAAATAGGATAGAGTGGGCAGAGTACCACTCAAGTAGTGGCCAGAAACCTCTCTAGGCGTGAGTTGAAACTCTTCCCAACTCTCTAACTTATCCAAACATTAGAAGGATTGGAAGTGAGGCTTGAAGGGCACTCCACCACAAGTGGGAGGCACAGGCAGGTTTCATTATGGGAGTCTTGCTCCTAAAGGCCCGCCTTGGGCCAGGCGTGCGCCTGCCTAGATGGGCTCTGAAAATGTCTAGTATAACCAAAAGAATGTTGACATGCATGCACTATTGCGAGATTATATATACTCTCATAAATAAGTTTGTTATCACAATCCAGTAACGATCTGAATGAAATAAATATATAAATATCTTTACGAGAGTACTAGCTTAGGTCATCAAAATTCAGTTCCACTATGTAGATGGAAGGATGGTTAATATGGAGGGGGAAAAAATCTAAAACCAAGTGAAATCCAGAAGCTGAAGCAACTTCAGGTTTCTACTTGGAAAGGGCTTTTAAGAATTAATGGGAGCTTCGTGTATTCAGATTACTTGTTGTTGATGGCTTCCATAGAAAGGGTAAGCTCCATAAGCTGCATGATACATACTTGGATCCTGAGGTGGAAGACCATATCCATAGCCATCATATATGTGTCCTCCGTAGTAAGCTCCATTCCACTGGTTCCCAAAGTCTCTGAACTGCCAACCCTCAACAAATGCAAGAAGAAATACTGTTAAACTTGTTTCCAACTAAATCAAACGCTTCAGATGATAAGAAGCAATGTAAACAAAACATTTACAGGCTACGTGTTTCCAAATTCAGTTCCAGATGAGACAAGGTTTAAATAACAAATACACAAGGCCACATGAGTTTACAGTTAGACAAATACATTTTTATGAACGATAAAAGAACGTACGAAGAAATTTATCAACCAAAATATAGCTCAGATTTAATTTGAATTCTAAAAACAGCTCATTTAGTTGTATTTCTATCCTGCCCTCCAGGAAAGTAATGGAAATTAAGAGCCTGCATAATTCTTTTGTTATCATTTTCACATTAGGAGAGAAGGGTAATTTGCCTGCTTATTTGCTGGATTTCGGCCCCATGAAAGGCGAACAGTTTGCTTGCCAACTACAGTTCCATTTAGTTTCTGCAAAGCCTCTTCAGCATCATTTCTACAGAGGAAAATAGAAAGGAATACGCCTTGAAATTTAGTAGAACTAAAAATAGATTGACAAAAGCAATAACCAGATAAATGCTTCTAATTCATTGTTTATATGTTAGGAAAGCCCGATTTCTAACTTTTACCTGTTGGCAAATTGGACAAATCCACATCCTTTACCTACTGGTATTTTAACAGAGACTATCTCACCATACTGCGAGAAAGGTTGCCTCAGATCTTCATCGTTCACATTAGGATCGAGCCCTCCAACAAATATCTAAAAGGAAAGTTCAGGTTAACCCAATAATACAGGGTGGAATCTCTAGCTGTGCAAAAAAAAAAAAAAAACAAAGCAACTCACAGTTGTATTTGCAGAATCTCCTTCCGATTGAAAACCTTGGCTAAAGGCACCATTTGTTGAATATGCTCCTATAAAAACCAGAGCACGACAAGTGTTTAAGCAGTCTAAAATGGGTAGGGAAGTCTACAACCATGAGTAAACCCTAAGAACACAGGCATGCAGAGGAGACACTATTTCAGAACTACTACTTCTCAAGGAGGATTCAATTTTCACAAGATTGCTCTAGTAAAGTTCCCAAAGAAGGATACCATAAAAATGGCCCCAAATCAGAACTTTCTGATGCAAATTGACACTAGATCGCCTATCTTAGCAATCAAATAATTCCACAAAAAACACTAAAGCTTTCATTTTCAGGCAAGATTAACATATAGATTCAGCATTGGAAGTAAACAGACTTGCAACCCCTATTTGAATACATGAGACCACTTCCGTCTACATTATTACAGATCAACAGAAGATAGCACAAGTCTTTTGTTGTCTAAAATTGATGTTTGACACAAACATTAATCTCAACAAAATTTCTAATGATAACAATAAAATCAAACTCCAAAATTGTAAGAGAGGAAGACCCAGTATATCCTTATTTGTTAGCATTATAGTTTTCATTTTAACAACTCTTTTGATACGTAACCCCAGTCTTGAACCAAATGCTTGGTAGAAGACAAAAGCTTACATATCTTTATTTACTCCAGAATTGCATACCAACCCCAAAGACATCCTAATCCTCTTGGAAGTAGTTTTAGGTTAAGCATACTATATCGCAGCCCCAAAACACTTAAATATACCTAATGAAGCACGTTGTTGCTGATATCCAGAAGACTTTCTGGGTGTTGCTGCACCAATGCGCATAGGTCTGCTTGAACAATGTACACCATTCATTTCAGTCATCGCCTGAGACCTTTCATTGTCATCTCCAAACCGAACAAAACCATAACCCTTTGAACGACCAGTGTTGGCATCAATGACAACTTTTGCTGCTTTGACAGAGGGAAATTTACTAGAAAATGTGTCGTACAGCAAAGTATCAGTAACATCTGCAGCTAAGTCTCCAACAAAGATAGAAAGATCAGGATCATTGTCTGATCGCTTGTCACCAGTGCTAAATGTCGCCCAGTTCAGGCGGAAAGCCTGTTCTGTATCTGGCATGCACATTCCAGAATAGTTCTGAAGAGCTTTCTCAGCTGTTGCATGAGCAAAGAATTCTACAAATCCATACCCCTCAGACAAACCAGTTTGCTTATTACGAATGATCTTGATAGATGAAATCTACATCATACAGAAACCAGAACAGTCTTAGTTCAACGTGATCATTCCAAACCAAGAACAATTCAAGATTTTTGTTAAAACAATGTTTTTTTTGGAAATGCTGAGGGTGATTACATTAATTTTTTTTCCCAAGAAAGTAAGGAAAAGAACAAGATTCAGTTAAGACAGCATATATACACATCCCTGTACAAAGCTGGAGACACAGTAATAAATATAAAAATCTAAGTGAAGCACCCACAACAAAATTTGCAATAAGATGTCAATGTCAATTATTAGAGAATTAGATCTTCTATATAAAATATAGTGCTGCATTTTTAAGCAAATTGTTCTCAGATCTACTAACGTCATAAAATAAAACGTAAATAAATCGCAATACTCAACTCCAATAAATTCTTACTTCCTCAACGGTAGCAAAAACCATTTTTTCTCAAAAACCAAGCCAAATATTCGATCAAGATAATATTCGTCATTTAGTTCTGCACTTGCACGCTCAAATTGCATAACGAGAATCAAGTACCGAAACAAAACCTCCTAAAAAGAATCATCAAGAAACAAAGTAGACGTATTCAACTATAAGAACGAATAGGAAAAATGAATCATTCCAATTTTCTACCATTATTTTAATGAAGAGAATGAATAATTTCATCCAATAAAATAGATTGAATTTAATTGAGAACTGCAACAATTCCTGCAAAGAATGATTATCGATTCATCGTAACGACATATTAGACTACAAATGCACCGATTCAAAATTCACGAACAAAATATAAATGCGAAGCGTAAAATAAACGTAAATAAGTGAAAAAAGAGGAGATAAAACCGAACCTCGCCGAATGAACCAAAGCAGTTATGGAGGTAAGTCTCGTCCATCCAATGCTGCAAGTCACCAACCCAAATCGTCTTGTTTTCGCCACCAGATCCCTGCAGCGGCTGCGAATGCTGCATAGGGAGATGGTGAGGCTGATAATGATAATGATAGTGCATATACGGCGGCGGCAACGGCGGCGCAATGTAATGCTGCGGCGTCATCATATGGTGCGGCATTACCATCGCCGGTGGGCGGTACTGCAGTGGCATCCACGACTTCTGCGGCGGCTGTTGGTGGCGTTGATTTGTTTCCGGAGGCTGCGAATCAGAACCGTTGTTTTGCATCTTATCTTCCTCCGTATTGAACAGTGATAGAAAAAGGCAAAAACGGAAAAGAAAAAGAATGAAAGAAAATCTTAATGTACACCCTAAACCCTAAACCAAAAGGGTAAAAGAATCTGAATTGAAAGAGAGAAAAACAAAAAAGAACACAAACAAATCGGAATCTAAGTGTTTAAAGGAAAGCGAAGCAGAAAGAGGAGTGGATTAGGGTCTAACTCTAAGCTTTCACGATGATTTATTAGGAGCTTCACCACGCCGTACCATACAATTACAAACCATGGCTGCTTTTGGGACAATGCGGTGGCTTATATACACCCTAGGATTAAGGACTACACTTTAATCTCAGCCCTTGATTTCAATTTCCTTTTCCGACGCCTGGCTCCATCCGCCGCCAATTCCTCTTTTTTATGCTATTTTCTGATTTACTTATAATCACTCTTAACACTCTTTTTCTTCTTCGCCTTAAAATAGGATATTCCGCAAAACCTTTATTCAATTATTCCTTTTTCTCCTTACTATTAGGAAACTTCGTTATACATTTTCTTTTCAAATTTTATTTTCTCTCTATTTATATAATTACTTAAATCATATTTGTCACTTATTTCTTCATTCGGCCCAATTTCTTTTTATTGGATCAGGCCCAATCTCATTGGGCCCAATACTTTTTATTGGACTTGACCCAATGTCATTGGGCCCAATACTTTTTATTGGACTTGACCCAATGTCATTGGGCCCAATATAAATTAGACTTTTGGATCCACTTCCCACTTTAGCCCAACGGAACCAGGGATGTCCAGCATAACATTTTCTCTTTTTTTTTTTTTTTTAAATAATTATTAGATTAATTTTCTTAACGATAAACATATATAAATGTGTTAAATAAAACAATATTTTGGGTATCACGTCATTCTTCAATACTCAACGCTTCATATATTATGACCCAAAGGATACATGTATGTATGTATATATGTATGTGGGTGTTATTAAACTTTTATTTTATCTTTGTTTATTTATATATATAAATTAATATAAATTAATACATGAGATTAAAAATAAGGTTGTGTCTGTTGGATGAAAGTCCAACTCGACTAATTTAGGGAATGATCGTGGGTTTATAATCAAGGAATACTATCTCTATTGGTATGAAGTTTTTTTGGAGAAACCAAAGCAAAGCCATAAAAGCTAATGCTCAGAGTAGACAATACTGGTACGAGGGAGAGTGTTCATTGAACAGTGTCATGGTGTTATTTCATAATTTAGATCGAGAAAAAGAATGAAAATAATTAAATCAAGCTTCATTAATTAACATTATAATCAATACATAATAATAGATTTTAAGTAGATAATGAAAGGAAGATGCATAACAATAATTGTAAACATGCACTTGATAATATGAATACATGACTGACTAAATTACCAACTATTAATATCATGATTAATGATATCCTAATGAATTTTGGAATCCACGTGGCTGTCCGGCGCAAGGCCGTGACCGGCGCCGGGGCTGTGGCCGGGTGTGGTGGGACGGAAGTCGCCGCCATGCACGTCCACGTCTGTAGCAGCAATGGGAGAGGGGTGAAATGACTGTGGCCTCGAATTGAGATGGACGGCTGGATGCTCCTGCTCCATTGGCAGCAACCTTAGTCCTTGGGTGTGTGAAATGTTATAATTGAAGATAGAAGCTAAAACCAGGAGGACGGCGGCGGCGGAGATGAGATTGATTCCGGCCATTTGTTTTTGACAATTGAAATGCAGTTTGAGAGAGAAGAGAGATCAAATATGGGATGGCTCCTAGCTCTCAACAAATAGGAGTATTTATAGACCTCATTTTTGTTACCTTCAAGGAAGAGACCTACATGCTTTTGTTCATTTTTTTTTTTAATGTTAATCAATTAATTAACTATATATTTTTGATGTATTAATACTTTTTTTTAATTAATTTTTAATCATGGGTTAATTTTAATATTGGAGGGATGATTTGAACTACGACCTCTTGATTCATTAAGGATACATGCTTTAGATTAGTGGAGCAATACTCATGTGTGCCAACTTCTTAACTACATTAGAAGAATATAATATACGTAACATACTTTATTTAGTATGCATATTTGAACATGTACACTAATAAATATATTTTAGTTCTAATTTTTTCTACAAAGATTCTGTTTTTTATTTTGGAAATGTTTTTGAAACCCATATGTTTATTATTTTTTTTGAGTTCGATAACGGCGATTTTGAACCTCTAAGCTCAAAAAAATTTCAAACCATAAAATTAAATTTATAATTTAACCTGCTCAAAGGTTTTTTTTTCAAACCAATGATTAGCAAGACTAGAATCTAAGGAATATTTGTGGAATTTAAATTTTGAAAAAGGGAAAAAAAAAGTATGTTTTTTCCATTAATTAAAAAAAGGGTGAATTTTAAAGTTGGAATTGGAGCAAAAGGGAAGAAAATGTAGAGTTGAAAAAAGAGAATGATTGTCCTAGAGAGAGAGAGAGAGTGTGAAGAGAGAGAGAGAAGGGAGCACAGTCATTTACTTTATTGTCAAAGGGCAAAAAAGTCTCCGTCTTCCATTAGCAACTCTGCATGTTCCATGCAGAAAAAGGAAGTTCCATTTTAGAATGATTCATTTGCAAAGAATATGCAGAGTTGCATCCAAATAGAATCGTTTTTCTATTTTGGAATAAGGAAAGCAACCCTAAGTGCCAAACCCACTACTAAGCCACACTCACACAAACCAACCTTTCTGCTACCAAAACCATCTTTGACTAAACAAAACCTCACTACTGCTACCTCCATTAATGCTTACCTTCACGTGCTTCCATTTACCTCTCCCCCTTCCCATCCCTTCCCTTCCTACAAAATCATCAACACTTATATCAAGAATATACAACAGTATGGAGTTCAATAGCATAAAAACATAATTCATAGTGTGAACAAATGAAGTATGTATTGTAAGAGTTCTAGAAATTGTCCCGATCATTGTGTCAAATTTCTTACCTGCATACAATTCAACTGGTTAAAATATTATTATACATCTAAGATTATATCTTTGAATGCATACTTTCATCTGATCCATCTAAAAAATATTTAATGATAATATGTTTAAATAAATGATATCAGTCATGTCATGATTATCTCAACAACGTTGGAGCGTAGAGGAAAAACTTGCTGAACCTAGTAAAAAGTGGATGGGCAAAGGAACATTGAAGGGATTCTATGGTTTTGAGTTCCCATAGAAACGTTCTACTAAGAATGATGGATTCGTCTCCTTTGGCCTATAAGGAGCCTATAATATGATTTTTAAATCAGGAAGAGAATTACTAAAATGCAAATATAATACCAACACAGGAAAAGATGCCAAAAGAATGGTTGAGATTCTTTTTGACATTCCATCGCTATTGTGGTTGTTATGATGATGGTAGAGAATCAAATGGGAGAAGATTCGTGGGATCCCATTAGATTGGAAAAAATAGTGTGTAGACAAAGGAAGCACTTCAAATGGCAAGTGATTTCCCAATGCCTCTCCACAGCCCAACATCGTCAAATATTTGCCTTGTGCAGCCAAACCAACGGCTGTTTGTTTGATTTACTTTTCCTTCTTATTCCCTTTGTTTTTCTGTCTTTGGATCTAATATAGCACAACATTCTGAGTTGCTCTCTCCAATGTCCTAAATAACCATACCACCAAACTATACTATTAAATGCTTCTCTTCCACCACTGGAATTTGGGGATTCCATATATACCCTTATAGACTTTGAAATACCATCAATCGGGTCCAATTAGTAGGAATCTTTTAGTAAAAGAGAGTAAAATTTGGTGATCTATCATAAAACTATACTTGTTTTGAAACATATATTATAAAGAAGGGAATGTTTTCTACTTTTTCCACAAAGAATTGCTATCTTTTCTTGATATGTTTCTGCACACAACTATATTGTCTTGATATGTTTTAAAGTGCATAATATTGTTCTAGAAAACTAGAATTAGGTAGCTTCCTAAAGTTTTGAAATACCTTTTAGTGGCCAGCTTGATTGGGGTCTGAAGGGCGCCTCAAATCAAATCTTACGGTCATAATTCTTTTGAAACCATTTTTCAAGGCTTCAGAGGTTTTTAGACACTAGAGATTAAACAAAGCATTTAAAGTTGAAATTATCATTGATAAAGTTGAACTTAAACTTCATGGTCAAATAGCATAATGATATAGCACCGCTAAATGGTAATGGTGGTAATAGGACAAATAATATTTAAAAAGAAAACAGCTTCTATTAAGGGAAATGCAAATGCACGAATACATTCATTATAAAAACAAGCATGACACCGTTAATGATGGTATGGTCATAATATAAAGAACTCAAGGAATGAATTACATATCAATAATGTGAGATTATGTAATCATCAAAACTTCATTAGACAATAATTAGCAAAAACATGCATTTGCAAGTTAAATAACAATCAAATTCAAGATCATAAACTCGAACATTCTGATAAATTTATTTTCTAAAACATACAAATCTTCAAACACTCCCTTACGTATGAATTCAAAATTAATTGACATGAATCAAGGATGATATCACTAAAATGAGATTCAACCTAGAGTAGAAAAATATCACACAAATTTGAACGAAGAAAAAAAAAAAAAAAACTCTGGCAAATGAGATTACTTTTTTTCTTTTTTGAAAACAGAAGTTCCAATTAAACAAATTTGACCATAAGTTAAAAGTAAATCTATTTGGGTTGGTAAGAAAGATGAAAAAAAAGTATACTATAAATTTCATTTAAATTTTAAAAATTAAAGCTTTATTTGATAACCATTTAATTTTTAATCTTTTGGTTTTTGAAAATTGTACTTGTATTTTTACATTTTCTTTGCAATAGTTTTCATCTTTCTCAAAAAAAAAAAAAAAAAAAAAAAAAA